CTAAGCTAAATGCTAATACAGAAAACAAATCAATATTCCTGATTGGAAATTTCCCTCCCCCACACCCCACAAAATTCTTGAAGCTCCTCCCCAGAGCACAGGTTGAAAACCACTGCTCCCAATCTACCCTTGTCCTGAGAGTGGAAACCCTTCTGTAATGGCCCCATGGGGTCTGTGGTTCCCCAGGTGCCCCAGGAGGACCAGTCATCCCACCTCTGGGAGCCAGCTTTATGTTGGCCCCAGGTAGGCATGGTGGACAAGTCCCTGGAGAAGAGGAAGCTAAGAAGTCCCAGGAGTACCACCCTCAGTTTTCCTGAGGTTTTGAATGACTTCCCCAATGATGAACAAGAACCTGGGCTCATCGGGTCTGCTCTTTATTCCTTGACTGATGTCTGCTAACTCCCTGCATGAAGACAAAAGCCAGGCCTCTGGCAGCTCCAGGCACACACAGACTGTGGGTTGTTTTGGGTTTCATAACTTGGCTGCCTTCCCTCCTCAGCCAGGCGGTGCTTCATCCCTCAGCCCTCAAACCGCACTCTCTTCATGGGGCGTGGTTGGTGCAGAGACTTGAAGAGGCACACTGGAGGCCCAGCCATGAGCATTGGGCCAGGGGTGGAGGGAGGACGTAGGGTGGGGTGGATCTAAAGAGAATCCATAGGGAAACAACTAGATGTTGGGGCTCAGGATTGCAAGAAAGATCTCATGCACGAGTTCTTGCCCCTCTACCCCGCCCCACCACCCAAGGAAAAGGGAGGAGGTCAGAGTAGACAGACCCTGAAGCTCATTGCAAATTCCCCCAATGTTGTGAAAGCTTTGTCATTTCTTGTTGTTTCTTTCCAAAGTCCCTAGTACGTGGTCTTTGCTTATATTATAGAGCTGATCACAAATTGCCTGATTTCACTGTAGGTTAAGTAAATACTTGTCTTTCCCATTAAACTGTGGAGGCAAATGTGTGTTTATTTATTCTAGAGGAAATCCCCAGAGTTTAAAACACTTTGCACATGATTGGGCCCAGTAGATATTTAAATTCAGTTGGCAGCTAGTCTAGTCATCTTTCCCAGAAGGGACCAACTGAAGTTGTCATCAGACACAATTTAAACCACTTGTTCTTCCTAACTGCCCATTGGTATGTGGCAGGGGTGGTGTTTCCTCAGAGACCTGTGCTGCCTGCCCCAGAAAGGACCCCAGTGGACATCTGTCAGCTGAAAGCATGAATGGGATGAGGCATGGAGACAAGTATTGTGAGAAGATCCAAAACACCCTGTTACAGTGAAGTCTGGGTGAATTGAGGTAGAGTTTGCAACAAAGGCCTTTGGACCAAGGTTGAGAAATGTAAGTGGCCCAGGATATCCAAGTGGGGGTAGTGAGCACAGGCTTAGAATCGAGTGATACCAAGTTTTCGCATAAAAGTGGGATAATCAGGCCCGCATAATGGGACTCTGCAGGAGTGGATGAGCTAGTGCTGGCCATGCATTCACACCATGTGGCACGTGGCAGTGCCCAGCAAGTGGAAGCTGTCACTGCTGTTGGATTAGGCACAGTGGCCTGGAGCAGCCAATGGAGCAGGGCACCTGGCGGCAGAGCAGAGGTAGAAAGACCTGTCTTTCCTTCCTGTAGAGAGGCTCATTGTGGGCATCTGAACTGCTTCACCAGTTACAACGCCTGTTTGCCCTGCAAATTCCTCTGGAGACTTTCCAGGAATGCGGATCCAGGGATGTTCCAAAGTCTCCAGCTAGAGCAGCAACAGGATGGGCTGACACTGGCCAACCTGGGCAGACCTTCTGAAGACCTGTAGTCCCAAGGGTTCCCTTTGTGAGGATTATCTGGAAGAGACTCTCTTATGGCGGTGTCACCGTTGGCATCTCATGAGGTGCTATCTTACAGTTTTGATGGAACATGTCTCCATTGTTCTCATCAGATTTGAGAATATGTCCTAGTTGAAAGGAAAAAAGGAGAAATACACTATGAGCAAGATAGAATGGCGGCAGCACGGCACAAGTGACCAGGCATTGGGTCACCCAATTTAACACAAATACACTATGTGTTAAGCAGTGTGCTGTCCCTTCCCTCCTCACCTGTACAACGAGCCCAGAACACATGTATCAGTGAGTCCACTCTAGAGATGAGGACACCAGCCCAGAGAGAATAAGAAACATAACCGAGGTCATAGGACCTGCTCTGGTCTGTGACTCAGACCCCCAAATGTGCCCGACCTAGAAAGAGTAGCCCCTGTCTGGCTCTGCATATTGTTCTCTCCTCCTGTGTGCTCCTCCAGCCAGAATGTTGGCGCCCTGCTCAATCTCACAAAAGCCCAAACTAAGAAGTGGATTGATTATTGGAGAGAAAAGTGCACAGATTATCCTTACTAAGGAAAAATAACTCCCTGCCATGACTTGGTTTCCCCAACTGTAGAATTGTAATTCTCGGGGCCTCCCTGGTGGTGCAAGGGATTAAAATGCAAACTATGAAGTTGTGCGCAGCCACTGCAGCACGAGTTCGATCCCCAGCCAGGGAAGTGACCCATATGGCAAAGCAGACCTCTCCTGTCTCGCCCGCTGCTCCCCTCAGCAGTGTATTTCAGTCAATCTGCCTGTTCTGTTCCCCACTCTGTCTCTCATGAATCCTATTACCCCCCACACTTCTGGCCTGTACCCCAGTTCTTATATGCATAAATAAATAAATCTTAAAAAAAAAAAAAAGAACTGTAATTCTCTTCTGTTCAGTTCTTGGACAGATGCAAGGTTGAGCTGGTGCCCCATGTTGCCCTGAGATTCTCTGATCCAGCCTAAGGCCCCACCCCAATGCCTGGTCACTTGTGCCGTGCTGCCGCCATTCTGTCTTGCTCAGATTCTCCTGCTCCAGGGCTGTTGCAGGCTCCTGTGCCTTTGCACATGGAATACCTTCCCCCCATTCTGGAGTGCTCTCTGCTCACTGTCCCCCTCTCAAAGCCTTCCCTGATCTTCACTCTTATAAGATAATCATACCCTCTATATTGATTGTATCTGTGGGATTTTAATTTATAGAGATGACAGGGTAATGGCATCCAGCAGACAATATCACTGAAAGAAGCTGGAAGAATTTATTACTTAAAGTTTTGAGGAAAAGAAGCAGGCATGCCACCCAAGGAAGCACCAGGGTCAGCTGGAGGCAGAAGGAATGAGGGCAAAGCATGGTCAGAGCTTTTATTGCCTTTTCTTCCAGAACAGGAGAATGAATGCAGCTGAGCAGGCTTAAGATTGGATCGTTTATGCCAGCAGGCTTGTGATACAGAGGTGGCCTCTGGTTGTCTGGTGCTTGGCCCTGGGATAGATAAGCAGGAGGATCTTTGGCTTGGTGAGTGACGGTGACATGAAAAGAGATGGCTGGGGTGTGGACTCGAGATTGGTTGTTTTGTATATGAAAGTTGTGCTCCAAGGCACATCATTCACTATCTCACTGTCAGTCAGGCCTGGGAGGGGCAGTGTTCCCAATCAGCTAGGTCCCTAAGGTATCAATGATCCTAATATATAAAATAAATGATTGATGATTACACCCTCCTCTTTACTCTGGGGGTGACTCTGTGGCTGAACTGGGCATACTATTGGCGATGCAGTTGTTTATTTTGTTGCTTATCTTCCTTGATATGAGCTCATTAGCAGCAGAGTCTGCAGAGCATTCATCTCTGTACCTTTGGCATCTGGCAAGTGCCTGCTGCCCATCTATGCTTAATACAGGGATTATAGGGCCTGGCTTCTCATTAGAATCCCTAAGAAGCATTTTTTTTTAAATTTTTTTTTATAGAGGCATGTTTTATTTATTTATTTGTTTGTTTGTTTGTTTGTTTATATAAGCACTGGGTACAGTCAGAAGCGCGGGAGGGTGAGAGAATTCACCAGAGCCAGAGCAGGGAGCACAGCAGGCAGAAGGACCGAAGCACACTGCTGAGGGGAGCAGCGGGCGGCAGGAGAGGTCTGCGCACCATGTGGGACCCTCCTCCAGTGGCTAGGGAGCAGCCAGGGACCGAACCGGTGCCGCAGAGGCCGCAGGCAGCTTTGCAACCCAGCGCTCAACCGTTGCGCCACCGGGGAGGCCCAGAATCCCTAAGAAGCATTTTAAAAAGAGTCATGTCTAAGCCTCACCCTCAGAGATTCTGGTTAAATTCATCTGGTGTATGAAATTCCACTGCCTCCTCGAATATCCTGGGAGGAATTTTCCAGAAGGAAACCAAGGTTGCGATCATTTATTTTATTTTATTTTTTTTAATAATAAATTTTATTTTTATATTCCCCATACAATTGCAGCCCCCCCATTCTGACCCCAATCCCTCCCCTCCCACCCCGCCCCCCTAAAAGTGTCTCTGGTTCGTAGTTTTTTGTTGATTTTGATTTTCACTTTCTTATAGTTATTCGTTTTCCTGGTCCCTTATTTAAGTTTTCTAGATTCCTGCTATGAGTGAGACCATCCGGTATTTTTCTTTTTCTTTTTGGCTTATTTCGCTGAGCATGATCCCTTCCAGTGCCATCCATGTTGCTGCAAATTGCATGTGGTTGCGATCATTTAAAAGCATGATCATTTAAAACACAGCAGAAACCCAGGTCCTGAAGGCCAGGCACTGGTGCTGGGCGTGGTCGCCTGAGGCAGGTGTTCCTCTCCATTTTTCTGAGGCTCCAGGCCACATCCCTTGGGGCAGGGTCTCTTGCTCCACCTGAGTAAGGTTGGCATTCTCCTTTCTCCTGCCTGGGTCTGGATACTGTGCATCTGTTTCCTGGCCTCTGTCCTTATCACTTTTCTCTTAGTCATGCCTCTGCAGCTTTTCTTTATACCTACTCTGCCTGCCTCCCAGTGTAACCTGAAAAGAAGGAGAAATGGTGAGAGAATTGTCTCTGTGGTTTCCTTTCATTTCATTAGAATTCTTGGAAGGAGGAATGGTAGAAAACCCACTTATTCTTCTTTTCCTATTCTCTCCTGCCCTTCATCTCTGCTCCTCCCTGCAACTTCCCTGGAACTTTCCCCAACTGCCTCCCCAACGACCAACTGCTGCCTCCTCTCCTGGCACTCTAAGAACCTCCCCAAACTCTCAGACTCTTTAAGGCCCTGACTGCTTTAAGGGCCCACACAGTGGGACATCCTGGAGGGAACTTGATCCCCACCTTCTCCAGTCCAGAGACTCACAAAGATTCCTCACCTCCCCGCAGCCACCAGCCAAAAGCTCCCACATTACTCTGGGTAAGTGACAGGGACGCTTCCCCCTTCAGAGTGAGGCAGGGACTTTCCGTAAGGACAAAGCAGAGAGACAGATGGAGAGAGAACATGGGAACATCAGAGAGACAGGGACTGTGGCTGGAAAACCTTAAGGGGATTGTGTTAAGGGTGTTATTTCTAATTCTACCTTAGTATAACTTGAGGCCATTAGTTGAGTTGTTTCTATGGGCTGGTCACTGAGCTTCAAACATTTCTAGATCTTTCCCCAGGAGAGCGCTTTGGCACTTTTTGCATGGCTAGAGCTCACCACATGACTGATGGTTTCAGTTCAGACAGCCTTACTTCTAACAGACTTAGTAAATATTTTATTTTATGGGGTCCTGATTTCCCCTCCCCAAGGAACAGGAATCCCTGTGTCCTCCATCTTAGAAATGTAAGGAGTACAGAGATTGGATCTTATGAGGAAAGGAGGGGGCAAGGTAAATACACAGCTCCAAGTTCAATTCTACCTCCACCAGGACAGACAAAATATCCATCCTTCCAAGGGTGAATGGCAGCAAAAGGATATGAAAAGTACACTTCATAGTACTCTGGACAAAATGGTTCATTAATACATACAATGTCTGACTAAAGAAACTGGCTTATGAGAGCAAGATTTAGTTGCTGAGACCAAGAAACTGTGAGCTCACAGAAAGTAGTGAAGTGGCCAGAGGTCTAGCAGAGCCCTTGGGTGCAAGGAGGAGTGGACTGGCCAGGGCTGGGCTGAGCCCCCTAGTCACCTCATCCTGGGGAACAGAGCTGCTGGAGAACAGAGCTGCTAGGAAACTGGCTCTTTGCCCACTGGCCCCACAGCCTGCCCCTATCACCACCACCACTTCATGCATCTTCTGCTTGATAAGTTAAAGATCTGTAATTCCAAAAGTGATATAGGACAACAGTCATCTATTAACAACACCACCCAAAAATTACATGTTAATACTATTACATTCCAAGACAATGTCCAAACTAGTCATCTGAAATGAAAAGTTCAGAAAAGGAAATCAGAGCTCATAGGTAAAATATGGCTCAAGTGCATTTTGGGGGATTTTGGGGTTCTTTAATTATAAAGGCCAACATAGGAAGCATATTCTGTTTGCAATATGTTGTTTTTTAAAGGTGCATGCTTGTTTATTGACTATTTATTAAGCATCTACTATGTTCAAAGTACTCTAGGGAAGGCAGAGACAATCGGGACCCTCATAGGATGAAAGGAAAACACCAACAAGTGCTCTTAAGGGACGAACACACACACTCTCTGGGGCAGCAATGAGGCATAGCTCAGAACAATGGGGAGAGGTGAGAGCCTCAGAACATCTATGTCCACTCTCCCCTCGGGTGTTTCCTTTCCTCTTGAAGTAGCAATGCCTATTTTTCCCCTCAGGCACTGTGCTTGGTGTCAGACACAGCAATTCTAACTACATATGGTCCTTTTCCTATAAAGATAATGGTCTAGTAGCAAAAGTAACAACAAAAAAGAAAGTAACAAAAAAAAAAAAAAGGCCTGATATATACTATTATGCACATGGTATATTATGGTGGAATGTTTGCAGATTCTGCATGTGGATGTGGGAGAATATCTACAAAGCTTCCCTGAAGGAGGTGATGTTTAAATATAACACCTGAAGGATGACCAGAAGTTTGTCATAAGGGTCATGAAGTGGGAGAACACTCCTTGCAGAGAGAACAGCTTGTGCAAAGGCATTGGAGTGGGAGAGAGCATAGCTGATGGGGAGGATGGAGAGAGGTCTACACAGGCTGATCAAGCTGTCAACACACAGAAGAATGGTTTAGGCCAATGTTTTCGAAGTGGGTTCTATAGAACGCTTATTCCCTGGATTTGTGTATGTGTGTGTATGAACATATACACAACATATAATTTACCACTTGAACCATTTTATGTGTATAACTCAGTGACATTAATTATATTCACACTGTTGTACAACTATCACCATGATGTATTTCCAAAACAATTATGACCCCAATAGAAAATCTGTGACAGTGAAGTAAATAACTCCCCATCCCCCTACTTCCCCACTCTTGGAAACTGCCATTCTGCTTTTGCTGCATTTTATGACTCTAGGTACTCATGGAATAGGACTCAAATAGTAGATGTGTTTCTGTGACTGGCTTGCTTCACTTAGACTAATGTTTTCAGGGTTCATTCATGCCACAGCACGTGTAAAAATGTCTTTTTTTTATGTCTGAACAATATTCCATTGTATGTACTTTATTTTGTTTATCCATTTGTCTGTTGGTGGACACATGGATTGGTTTCACACTGAGGAGCAGTGAACATTAGTGTATAAGTTTCCATCACAGCCCCTGCTTCAAATTCCTGTGAGTATGTATCCAGGAGCAGAAGTGTTGGATCTTGTCATAGTTCTATGTTTAGCTTTTTGAGAAACCACAGACTGTTTTCTATAGTGGCTACACCATTTTGCCTTCCCAACAGCAATGTACAAGGGTTCCAATTTCCCCACATGCTCTACAACTCTTATTTTCTCTGAGTGCAGGTCTGTGTCTCTGTGTATTTAATAATAGCTTTCCTAATGGGTGTGAAGTGATTTCTCATTGTGGTTTTGATTTACATTTTCCATAATAGCTAATGATGTCAAGCATTTTTCAGTGCTTATTGGCCATGAGAAGGCTATTCAAGTATTTTGCAGAATTTTTAATTGGATTGCATGCTGTTTTTATAGGACTTAATATATTCTGGATATTAACCCTTATCACATTTATTCTCTACAAGTGTTTTTTCCCATTCTTCAGTTATCTTCTGACTGTCATGATAGTGTTCTTTGATACAAAAGGTTTTTCATTTTGATTTGGTTCAACTAACCTAATTTTTAATTTGTTGTCTGTGTTGTTGGTGTTCTGTCAGAAATCATTGCCAAATCCAATGAATGTTATGAAGATTTTCTTGCAAGTATATATAGTTTCAGCTCTTTGATCCATGTTGACAACATTTGTATGTGGTTTAAGGTTAAGTTCTTACTTCTTTCTTTTGTATGTGGCCATACAGGTTCCCTGGCTCCTTTCATTGAAAATGCAATTCTCTTCCCATTGAAGGGTCTTGGCATCCTTGTTGAAAATCATTTGACCACATACACTACTCTCTTTTCATTCCATTGGTCTCTAGGTGTGTCAGTACCAAGCAGTTTGGTCACAGCTGTTTTACAGTCAACTTTTAAAATTAGGAACTATGAATCCTTCAACTTTATTCTTTTTTTTTTTTCATGACTATTAGGATTTTCTTGAGATTCCTTATGAATTTAGGAATGAATTTTCTATTTTTGTGAAACACAATATTAGTGTTTTGACAGGATTGCATTGAATCTATAGATTATTTTGGGTAGTATTGACATGTTAACAACATTAAGTCTTCCACAAACATAAAATTTCTCTTTATTTATGTATCTTTTTAAAATTCTTAAATAACATTTTTCACTTTTCAGTGTACAAGTCATTCTCCTCCTTGGTTAATTCCTAAATATTTTACTCTTTTTGATGCTACTGTAGATGGAATAGTTTTCTAATTCCTGTTCAAATTTTTCATTGTTAATGTGCCAGAAATGATTTTTGTGTGTTGAGTTTGTATCCTGTAACTTTACTAAATTTACTTATTAACTCTTAATTTGTTTGTTTGAATCATTAGGGTTTCTCACATATAAAATCAGGTCATCTGCAAAAAGAATTAATTTTGCTTCTTCCTTTCTAATTTGGATGCCTTATTATTTCTTTTCCTTGCATAATTGTTCTGTCTCAAACAATCTATGTTGAATACAAGTGGTAAAAATAGGAAACCTTGTTGCCATGGGCTGAATTTTGTCTCACCAAAATTCATATGTTGAAGTCCTAAATCCCTACTACTTCAGAATATGAATGTATTTGGGGATATAGAGCCTTTAAGGAGGTGATTAAGTTTAAAAGAGGCCATCACATAGGCGTTAATCTTTCTGTCCTTTTATATTTGCCTATTTCTCGTGTAAGAGGGAACTTATGGTATGTGGTCTTTTTTTACATTTTTTTGTTGGAGGACTTGCATTTTTGTTCTTCCATGTGTGACTATGTGGTCTGTTGTGACTGCCTTTTTTCACTTAGCAGTGTTTTCCCCACCTTCCTGGCCCAGACTTAGGGAAACTTAATCCTGTAAACGGCACAAAGTGGCACTGAATCCCCAAGAGAAAGATCAGGTTTGAAAATACTGAGAATATTCTGTCAGTGCTCTCCGTAGGAAAAGCAGCCAAAGAATTCAGATAAATAAGCAAAAGGGATCCAGGTGCCAACCTGAGTGGTTAGTCTTATTGATGTTTAGGAGTTACTAAGTGACAATGGGCATGATCAGAAATAGAGCTGGCAATTTTGTCAGGAATTCAAACAAGCAGCTGGATGTGCCAAGCACAGCACAGGGAAAGCTGGACCAAACCTCTCTCTGCCCTCAAGAAGGTTATAGGCCCAGGAATCGGGGGAGAGCAAGGAAATCTGTAAACAAATATCTACAAAGAATTTGTTAGAAACATTTAACAACAATAAGTAAAAGCATAAAGTGCTCTTGCGTAGTTGTTTTAAGGAGCCTGGGGTTGCTACAAGCTCCTCTGAGGAAATGATACCTTGGTGGTCCACCAAAAGGAGATGTGAGGACAGGCCGTGGGCCAGGTAGGAGTCTGAGGGACGCGGAGGAGTTGTCAAGGAGAGGACAGCGGAAGTCCCAGAACAAAGGGTGAGGAAAAGGAGCCCAGCAGCAGGAACGGCAAGCAGCACAGCGTCTGGAATTTGTGTGCCTGTTCAAATCCCAGCTTGACCACTCACTATCCGTGTGGAACAAGGTCTGGATTAGCTCTAACTCTGGGTGCCTCAGTGTCCCCCTCTGAAAAGTGGGACAATAATAATAGTACCTACTTGGAAGGATGTTATGAAGATTCAATGTTAAATGCCTGATACATTCTGAGAAGAAGGAATTGCTGGCATGAATGGGCCCCATGGGAGCAACCTGCACTGTGGCAGCCTCTGCCACCTCCAGGCAGCCATCCTCACCGGGGCCAAGGCCTGAGGGCACTCCAGGAAAGGGGTGGCTTCTCTACAGCTGCTTTGAAGCAAGAGTGTCTCCACCTTGGATAACCATCCTGGTAGAATTGTCCTCTGGCTCAAGAGGGACAGGGACCATGCTCATTGGTCCCCCAACCTGGCACAGGGCCCGGCTCCTGGGAGGTACCCAGTGTGTAGGTGAAATGACTTGGGAATGAATGAAGAGATGAATGGGCCTTGAACAACACTTGCACTACCCATAAATCAGCAAGCAGTCCCGGTGGCCAGGGGCTTGCTAGCTGTCCTGGAGAAGTCATTTCATTTCATTCTCACAGCTGTCTGCAAGGAGGCCTCTGGTGGACACTCGGCAGCAGGAGAGATCTTGGGAATGAGTTCTCTGTGGGGAGCCCATGTCATCCTTCAGGGAGTCTAATTATTCAGAAATATGTTCAATTTGTAGCCCAGAAGAAGGGTTTTTTGCTACAAGTTGAATCTTAGAAACAGGAAATTTTCAGCAAGCTCTACTGAAAATAGTTTCTCAAACAATCTAGACACATGTACTTTATATCTATCACCGCTATTTCCTCAGCAAGACATGGGGTGAAAGATGAGGTCATTTGACTGGTTTTTGAAAGGGAGAGGTGTTGCATTCTAGAAAGGGTAGTGGCCTTCCCATAGCCTGGCAGAGCTCAGAGCAGAACCCAGGAGTCCCCATCCCACTCTCCAGAAAAGACAAAAAGCAAAATCAGGTAGAATGGCCTGTGATCTGCCCACCACGGTTCCCTTCACACAACCAGCCAGGAGTTTAGCGAGGCTCAGCCAGTCTCCCCACCTCCTAGCACAGCGCTGGTGCCAGCCGCCCCTTCCCCAGAGGCTATTATTTTGGGAGAGAGCTGAGTTCAGCATTCTGCAAGGTGCAGTTGGGCCCGCCCTTCTGTCCTCAACTGACCTGGGGGCTCTACTCCAGAGTCCAACCCCATGTGCAGCTGCCCCTCCTACATAGGGTCCCTGTTTCTAACCATCTCCACCAGCAGCAGGGCCCCATGCTGTCGGGTAGGTGGCAGAAGAACTGAGAGCAGGAGCAAAGCTGTCCGAGGGAAGGGGCATGGCTCAGTCAAACCCCTGGGCCTAGAAAAACAACCAAGTTTGGCTCCCCAGAACACCCCCAGAACTCATCCCCTCTGCCTGGGATCACCACCTTCCCAGGGATTTGCTTTGCAGCCAAAAGAACAGGCTGGCCCTCCACCAGCTGACCACACATGGGGCAAGTGCAAGAGGCTTATATAAGCACTTCTGCTTGGCAGCCTGCTCTTTGCCCTGGTCACCCTGGCACAGACCTAGAGTGACAGCAAAGCCGTGCTCGCACAGAGGCGGGGCCTCAGCCAGGACTGCAGAGTGAGTCCAGCTTGGAGGAGGCCCAGGTCCTCCCAAGGAACTTGCATCCGGGTGGCAGATTAGCTGCTGGAGCCCTTGAAACTGCCTGCCCTCCTCCCTCTGCTTGCTGCACACTTCTCTGACCCACCAGGTGGGCCCCCAGGGTGGGACTATGGGTGGGAAGGGTGCCCCCAGCAAGGCACCCCGAAGTTCTAAAGGATCCTTCTGTTGCAGGTGCCCATGGGTTGGACAATGAGGCTAGCCACAGCAGCCCTCTTTCTGGGTCTCACGATGGTGGTCACTGGAGATGAGATAAAGAACGGCGTTTGCATCTATGATGCCCTGCCTGACAACGATGCTGTCCTCTGCAAGTAAGGCTGGGCAGGGGCAGCACCCCAGAAAGCAACCAGGCTGATAGAAACCAGGGTGAGGTCTCAGGCAGGGTGTTTTCAGAACCAAGAAGTGTGTCTCCTGAGCCAGTCTCTGTGGACTGACCAAGAGTAAGTCCATTTTGAAGACCACCCAGATGGAAGCTGGCACTGAGGAAAAGACTCAGACAGGATCCTGCCTCCTGGGGTGGTTCTCCCAGGACCAGGATAGTGTATGTATGAGACCCGTCCCCTGGCTCCATGCCTGAAAGGGCCTGTGGTTCTGGCCTCACCCTTGCTATTGGGACAGGGGAGAAGGGGAGGGAAGCAGGGAAGGAGAACCCTTCCCTACAGCCTGGGATGATCTGTATCCCACCCCTGACAAAGAGGCATTTTATTTATTTATTTGTTTGTTTGTTTATTTATATATTTTATCTTATTTCATATAATTCTTACATCATTTTTCATTTTTGCTCAACATATGCATTTTCATTTTGGAAACGTGCCAGCTGACAGAGGGCGTGTGACTGGACCCTCCCTGTGTGAGAGGGGCTGTTTGTTTCTCACTAATAAGGCCCCAGGGGTGTCGGGGCAGGGCTTGTAGGGATGTCCCTGGAAGTTATCCAGAGAAGAGGCTGACTTCTCTTCTCCCCCTCCACCGGTACAGGTATTCAGCTCCCTCCTCACCCAGTCTTCAGGCCCTGGACTCATGGCCACCAGAGGGCTACCCAGGCCACAGTGTTGCAACCTCCTAGGGCAGTAGGTTTCCAAGGAGGCTAGTGTCTCACCTCAGAAAGGAGAGTGAGAGGAATACAGTACGGAGATTTACTGTCTCCTGGTGTGTGTGTGAATTTTTACAGACATTACTTTTAGAAAGATGAATGCATATTTTCCCTTACAAAGTTAGGTAGTTGTGGGGTTTTTTTTTTTGGATTTTTTTTAAAGATTTATTTATTTATACAAGCACTGGGTAGTCAGAAGCATGGGAGGGTGAGAGAATTCCCCAGAGCCAGAGTGGGGAACAGAACAGACAGACTGATGAAATACACTGCTGAGGGGAGCAGTGGGTGCAGCAGGAGAGGTCTGCGCGCCATGTGGGACCCTCGCATGGCCGGGGATTGAACCGGTGCTGCAGAGGCTGCGGGCAGCTTCGCAGCCCAGGGCTCAACCGCTGCACCACCGGGGAGGCCCAGTTAGGTAGTTTAATTAAAGAAAAAAAAGTAACACGAATTTTGCTTTAAAACTTTTAAAACAGTGCCAGGTATTTTTATGTGGGAGGAAAGAGGGAACAAGTCCTCTCACAGGTGGGACAGAGCCTCTGGGTGCTCAACTGAGCAGAACCTTCCCGAAGGCAGCAGACTTTTTACCCTGGTGGGTAGAAGGCCAAGCCCCATAAGCTGGAGAAGACAGGGCAAGGAAGGCCAGGCCATGCCAGTGGCCCCATTATGGACTGCGTCTGGGCATCCCCACGTTCCTACACTGTGGAACACAGAGAAAATGATGACAAGTATATGGTTATTGGAGGTGACTGGCCTGGGCTCCCACTGTGTACCTTTGGGGACTCGTTCTGTGCCAGGAGTTCTGTGGTGCTTTAGACCCTGGTTCACCTCATTGTTATCAAGAGCTTACTAACTAGGTGTTATCATCTCCATTTGGATGAGAGATTAAGTACCTGCCCACAGTGTTAACACCTCTGCACAGAGATTGCCCCCAGGCTTAGCAGCCTGAAGCGCTGGCTGCCTCACAGTTTTTCAGAAGGTCGCAGTTGAGCTATTGGTGAGAAGGCTCAACTTATCAGAGGTGGGGTGCCTGCCTCCAAGCTCACTCTTACTGGCAGGCTAGGGACCCTTGTCTTATGTATGGCCTCTCCATGGGCCGCTTATAGCACGGCAAGCCAGCTCCCCACAGAGCAAGGACTTGAGAGAGAGAGAGAGAGGTTGCAAGTGACAGCCTCAAAGCAGAAGCCACCATCTTCTCATAATTTTGGAAGCAGCTTCCATCACATCTGCCATATTCTCTGTCACTAAATCTGGGCCCCACTCAAGAGGAGAGGATTATGCAAGGGTGTGGAAACCAGCATATTGGGATCTTTGGGGGTATCTGGACACTGCCTGCCACTCCCATGTCCTTCTGTTGCCTCTCAGTCCATCAGTTATGAGACCCTGTACTACTTCTTTAAGTTTCTCTGGGCATCAGTTTACTTAGCTGGGAGATGAAGGTATTGCTACATGAAATGATATCATACGTAGGTGATCCACCTGATTTGTTGGGTGGCCCAATAAATGCCATCCCCTTTCCTCCTGGTCCCTTATGTATTGTTAGATAATGGCCAATCTGGGACCAGAACCCCAGCTTCTCTCCTTTCCCCCACTTTCTCTGGGATGTTTCTGAAAGAGGTCAGGAGAGGCCCAAAACCAGAGAGTAGAGATTAGAGCACAGCCCACTGTGAACTGTGCCACAGCAGGAAGGACACTGAAGAAAGATGAGGTATTTGAACTGGAATGCAAATTAACAAGTGTGCTGTTACCAAACTTAAATTTTGATTAGGTTCATCTCAGGCTGGTCCAGATCATCTTTTAGGCTGAATTGATCTGAATTGTTAGTTACCAGCTTTGTGCAAATCTAGCGCATTTGTCTTCTGTGTCCTGAGTCAAGTGTTTGATAAAACTACTTGAGACAGACCCACACATGCCCCTGGGCGTGTTCTGTTAGTGAGCAACATGGAGTTTCAAATACTGAGCTGGCAGGACTCCATGGTCCTGGGCGGGGTGGTGGGGGGAGTGTCACATGGACCTCGTCCCAGGTCCTTGGCAAGTACCCTATCAGGACTTTCTGTGGCTGGTGATTTTGCTTAATGTCATTTTGGTTAACTTTTAAAATTTGCAACAATTCTATGGGGAAAGAAAGAGGTGGAGGTGGCCCGTTTTTCCTGGGGAGTAGGCCCCTTGGTTTTTTCCAGTTTTGTGCTGCGTACACATCTCTATCACTCTGCCAGTGGAGGGTCCTCTCTCTCAGCCTTGGATCCTGAAGGCAGAAACAAACTCAGCAGTCCTCACAAGCTGCAGGGAAGCTCAATGAAAGCTCATCCTCTAAATCACGCCATCCCACAAGAATTACTGTAAACTCAGGAAGAGTTCAAAGCAACACATATGTCTGCAAGTCAGTCGTTCAGCTAGATGCCTCAGTGACAGACTCAGGCAGCTAGTCCTGGCACTGGGCGCTGCCCACACAAGCGCCTCTGGTGTTGCAGGCTCAGACCACTCTTGCCCAAAGGTGGGGGCCTCAGGCGTCACTGTGGAAGGGTGGGAAGCAGGAAAAGGAATGGAGGCTTCCCAGCAGGAAGCTGTTCTTGCCCTTGTTCCAGGTCTCCCCCTCCAGATTGACTCCAAGTTACATCCCTTCGGCCAGCCCTGGGCAGTCGCCCCCAGCAGGGAACTGTGGCCAGCCCTGGGTGACTGCTGGCAAACCAGGATAGGCTCAGCCACGTGGGCTTTTCAGAAAGGCTGAGGCTCCACCTTCTCTCTGAGTGAATCTTCTTAACCCATTGAACCCCACAAGGACCTTGGGGCATGTATAAGAAAAGAAGTTGTATAAGAAAAGAAGTTGTATAAGAAAAGAAGTTGGCCAGATATGTCATGTCTCTTTGAAAGCCTGGCTTACACCCCCTAGTTTCAAAAACAGGGGTCCTTCAGGCTGACCCTGGGGAATCAGCACCTCCCACCCCGCAACTCCCCAAATGGAGCCTCGGGGCGTTCGTGCTGTGCAGCCCGTTCTCAGGAACAAGGCAGAAAGATGGACTCAGGCCACAGTCTTGGTGGCTAAGGGTTTTGACACTGGGACCGCAGCGTGGCCTGCAGAGCTAAGCAGGCATTTCCTCCACAGTCGCCTAAGCCGCGGGGGACCGTAGGAAAAAAATGTAGCATTCGGCAACAATCATGCAGCCAAGGTTCCCCAACTCTGGGTTGAGCGCTGGGTTGCGAAGCTGCCCGCAGCCTCTGCAGCACCGGTTCGATCCCCGGCCGCCGCGGGGCGAGGGTCCCACATGGCGCGCAGACCTCTCCTGCCGCCCGCTGCTCCCCTCAGCAGTGTACTTCGGTCCTTCTGCCTGCTCTGCTCCCTGCTCTGGCTCTGGTGAATTCTCTCACCCTCCCGCGCTTCTGACTGTACCCAGTGCTTGTATAAATAAATAAATAAATCTTTAAAAAAAAAATGTAGCGAGCAGCCCGTCAGTCGGGTGCCAGCTGGGTTTGAACATGGAGCCCGAGGGGCAGATTCCCACTGGCTGCCTCTCGGCTGCACCCCGGCAGCCCTGCGGCCTCCAGGACTGCAACACGGAGGCCCCAGCGGGCCAGCGGCACTGACCGTTTCCCACCTGGTACCTGGGCAGTGGAACGAACCAATGAACCATTTTGCAAGCAAAATGAACCAATCACATCAGCTCATTAGTTAATTATTCAGTACCAGATTTGCTGATTGGTCCTAAAATGGCCCAATCCTGGTCACGGGCCTGGAAATGGCCCAATCAGGCAGGTAGCCACTGGGGCGGGGCGGGAACCTGGGAAGTCCGCCCCCTCTGCGTGGAGGTCGCAAGCGCGCGCAGTGTCCCCGCGGGGAGCGCCGCGTGTGGGCGCGCGCAGTGACAGCCGGAGCTGAGGGAGCGCGACGCTCACCACGTCACCACGACCGCTTCCTGGTGGCGGCTCCCGGCTTGGAGAGGATCTTGCTAGTGTCGGGCTGAGAGGATAGCCTGGGGCCCGGAAGAAGGTTGTACTGACGTGTTAAACTCTTTGTGCGGAAGGGCCTTCTGGAAAAGCGATGTGTGAACACTGTTCTCACAGCGGCCCGTGGACCAGACCTGGGGGTGAGGGGGGGGGGGGCGACAGGGGTGTGTTCTCATTTGAACGGTTACCCTGGCAACCGCTGACGCTCCCCACCCCTCCCCCCGCCCCCACTGACGACATGGCGGGCCGATCACGAGTCCCGCCCGCTTCCTTTCCTCCTCACACCGACCGGTCCCCGTTTTACAGGTGGAGAAACTGGGGCACAAGAGGTCACGTGGCTCTTGGATCACCCAGGTCACAGCACTAATGTGGCGGGCAGAGGATTCATCCCACCACACCACCTCACCCGGGTGGGGGTCTTGAGGCCCCTGACGTGGGCCAACCACCTTCCTCTCTCCACAGGGGCCTGGAAGTTTTCTACCCAGAGTTGGGGAACCTTGGCTGCATGATTGTTCCCGAATGCAACCTCTATAGACAGAAGATCACCCAGTGGCCGGCGCCCATCGTCAAGTTCCCTGGGGCCCTGGAGGTGAGTGGGCGCTCGGCCTGCGGGGCTCGCTGGTCTTGTTCATGCAGGCAACTCCAAGCGGGGAGCAGAGTCCCCTGGGCTGGGTCTGGTGGGGCAGATAGCCGTTGCCTGGAGCGTGTGCTGTCCCCAGCCTTGTAGGGCAGAGCTGCGACCAGAACCTCGGCTGCTCAGGGCCGCCCCACCCCGGCCTGGTTCCTGTTCCTGCAGCCCAGGGCAGCCACGCCTGCCATTTCAGCCAGCCTGCAGAACAGCTGGTGTGTGCTTCCGGGTCTGCAGAGAAACCAAGGGGAGTGGGACAGAGAAGTCCCCAGAGTGCAGGGGAGTGGGGCTTTCAGAATTGTCTTCGAAGTGAGGAGCTAGTTTGCAGTGGACAGCGCCCCTCATATAGGCTGAACAGTGCATCTTGATTCTTGGTCATGGCAAAATGAGACCGGCTCAATAGAAGATTGAAGCATTTTAGGAATTGGATATAAGCATCTGATAGATGGGAAATGATTAGCGCCATCTGACTGGGAAATGATTAGCGCCATCTTGTCCTGGAAGCTTCCCTTGCATGTGCGGTCCCAAGCCTGGGGCAGGGCTGTGGAGTGGGGAGGGCCGAGGTTGCTGCACCCAGCGGGGCTGTGACCTGGTAGCAGGTCCAGTGTTCTCATTGCTATTTCCTCCTTCTCGACTCCTGGGCCACACTGAGCCTCCAGACGTGCACTTTTACTGTTTTACTAGGACATGCCGTGTCAGCTTAGGCACAAGGACTGATGTGTCCAGGACTCAGACCAGCAACAGGTAGATTCAGGGCTGTGGTCGCGACATGAGCACCACGCACAAAGGCCAGCTCCCTGGTGCTTCCCTGCAGTGGCAGCCAGAGGCCTTTTGGTACTGCCGTGAGTCAGGCCTGACAACTCAGACAGCAAGATAGTCCTGGGGATTCACACTGATTTCTTGGATGTTGACGGATAGATTTTTCTTTTCTTTCTTAAACTATTTTTCACCACCAGGGAACAAATATATTGAGATATGTCTCACAATTTATGAGGCCAAGAACACAACGCTTTGACAGGCCATCATATTTGCAAACCACAACAGCATCCTTTCCTCTGAACCAGGAAGTAATGAGGTCTTCTGGGTCTCCTCTCCCTCACCCCTCCTAGCCTGCATGTGTGTACGTGCAAGCACATGCATGCTCACTTACAGGGTCTCAGCCCTCCTCCCTAGTACCCTAGTCCTGTCATCACCATGGACAGGAGGGAGTAGCAGTAGAAATGTGGGCCCTAGTTACTCTAACTCTTAGAATGGGTAAAGGGCCACAGAAGCAGAGCAGGTCAGGGAAGCGTATAATGCTGCCCTGTGGGACAGGACTCTACTTCACCCTTAATCCTCTTGTCCTCGCACCTGCCAGGGGAAGAGAGGGGGTTGGGACAGATGCATTCAGAGTCCCAGTGATTGTCCCAAGAAGTCTCGGCACCAGGTGCCGTCCCACATGGTATTACTGAAGATTTCCACTAGATGGCAGTGTAGACTTTCTGAGTGCTGCCCTCAGGAAGGACAAGTTGGAAGCAAATTGGGAAAGTCTGCATTTGATTGTTGGGTTGGTACTGGTTGTCCTGTGATGTGGGCACACATGCAGAAAAGATAGCTCCCCTTTCAGATGCAGAAATCTCCATGGTTAACAAACCCCTCCTGTCTCAGCCCAGAGGTGGGGTGGAGGAGAAAACTGGTCTGGAAACAAGAGACGTATGAAGGAAGACAGATGTTTCACAAAAGAAGATTTGGTCAAGGTGGTGGAAAGAAAAAGTAATATTCTCTTATTACACAACTGCGGTTTATGGAAATATAGCTGACCTTTGAGAAGGAAGATTCAGTTATCAAAGCCACTGATTGTTGAGGGTTCCCCACTTTATGCTGGGTGCCATTCATATGTCCTTTCATTTCTCTCATCAAGTCTGCAAGTTAAGTGTTTGTATTTCTTTAGTCAAGAATGTTAGGTTAGTGGAAAGTGACAAGTCATCTCAAACTGGCTTTTGCCCAAACAGAGGGAACTAATTATTTATCCACAAGCTGAAAACTACGTAGATAACTTAAGGCGTGACTCAAGCCAGTGCTCAAGTAACATCATGTCCCCTTTCTCTACATTCTCATCAACACCTGCCCCTTTTCTCTACCTTTCCCATCCTGGTCTTATTTGTAAATGGACTCTTCTTGTGACAGCAAAGACAATCCCATCCACTTTAGATTGATGTTTTACTAGTTTATTTTTTCCTTTACTATGTTTACTAGAGTAGACTGACCCTTTCCAACCATTGAAATTCCCATAATTTGTCCTGCTTGGATCAAATGCCCACCTCTGAACCCCACGGTGACCCTGGGCAGCCCCACTTACCCTACCAGGGCTGAGAGCATGAGTGGATGGCTCCTCCAGAGGTGGTGATCACACAGGGTAGTGTTGGTCAGCGCAACCCCTGATGAATGGGGCAGATTCACTCCTCTGGGTGATCAAGGGACTGAGAGGGATGTGCATGCATGTAAGGGAAGTGAGGGAGCTTGGATTTTGTCAGAAGAGGTGAAGGATGTTGGGAAGGAGAAGCAAGAGTTGCGTTTTTAGAAGGAAGCTATCGGACCAAATGCAGGGCAGAAAGTGGAAGAATCCAACTCCAAAGCCCAGGGGCTGAATCCCCAGGCCACTTGGCAGGGACTCTCAGGGAAACCTGGAGGTACTGGTGCAGTCACTGCTTAGGAACATGTGCAAGGAGGTGGAGAAAAGCCAGGGACAGTGGGAAGTGAGCTTAAGTGACTAGAGCTTTTCTTAAGGGGTTGAGGGAACAAATCTCTCCAGAAGAGGGTGACTGGGGAAGTTGGAGAGGAAGTAGGTATCTTTGGAATAGGGTCCTTCCAAAGTAGGGGTAAGATAGCCCAAATCCCTGTGTCAGAGAGGAGGATAAAGGCATTTCCTCTGATCTGGGGTCTAAGAGGTTAGTGACTGTCTGGCTGTGTGGGGACAGGGGACAGTGCTGTGCATCAAAGGTGGCTAAAGCAATGTCACTAAAGTAGTGATACCAGTGTGCATGGCCAGGAACACCCCCCAGTCAAGCCCCTGAAACCCAGGAAGGAGGGGTCAATAGGTGTGGATAGCACTTCTGTGCCCACCACAGGTCTTCCTGCCCACACATCTTTGTGCAGACACTTCCCCATATTTGCACCCTGCACTCTGGGGCACCCTGGTCCCACCAAAATGTTCTCTCCTCCAGGAAGCCTTCCTTGACTGCCTCTCTCTAGTCCTCACTGCAATCCCTGGCCAGTCTCTTCTTTTTCTGAGCGTTTTTAATGCCCTCCACCATCTAGACCTAGGGTTTGCTTTCTTCTCTCTGACATTGAGGGTTGCTTATTTACATGTCCCATAGCTTCAACCAATTTCTAAGCTCCAGGAGAGCAGGGCCATGTGTTGTGTTTCTTTGAACCACCCACAGCCCCTACCAGCACTGCAGACTTCATAGTGACTGACTGGGTGATTGGGTGGGTAAACAAATGAATGGGTGAGTGAATGGATGGCTGGATGAGTGAATGGCAGGTGCAAGGAGACCTCCTGGAGAGTGAGCTGTGAGCTGAGTGAGGCCAGGTTTGCCCTTTAAGCTGCCGGGTGTCCTGGGGCATCTGGAGGAAAGCTGGTGAGCCTGGCAGGCCCAGCCAGTAGCAGTTTCTCCTCCCCCCAGACTCAGTGTGAGCTGGGGGGCAGAAGCAGGGAGAGAAAGGGGAAAGCAGGTGGGTTCCCGAGAAGGCGGCACAGTGTGGGGAAGCCTGGGTGGTCCAGTGCCAACAGTTGCCGGGAGCTTTCCGGGAGCTGAGAGGCGTTGAAGGAAGCTCCCTGGGCACTTTGACAAACATTAAGAGGCAAACATCTTAAAATGTATCCCTTTCTCAAGTCAATGAAAACTGAAAGCCCCCTCTCCCCAGCAGCTTCTTTTTATTTTATTTTATTCTATTTTATTTTATATATTTTTTACATCATTTTTCATTTTTGCACAATGTGTGCATTTTCATCTTGGTTATAGTCCCCATACAATTCCCACCCCCCTTGTTTTGATCCTACTCCCTTCTCCCCACCCCCCTCCCCCGTAGTGTGTCTCTGGTTTACAGTTGCTTGTTGATTTTGATTTTTACCCAAGCAGTTTCTTGACTAGAGCTTATTCTTCACCTTGAATTTAACCAGCTGGAATCCTTTTGAAGTGAAGAAATTGCCTTTAAGTGGGGAATGTGCATTGCACGAAGGGAAGGAACACAAGGTCACCTGCCCTCGTATCCTGCTGTCCCTCGGGTGTCCAGTTATTCTCCTCTGAAACCAGGTGACCCTGGGTGTCCTCCTGCAGTCTTCCCAGGCAACCTGCCCCACCCCCAGCATCCTGTTGCTACTTGCTGGGTGCCATGCCCTGCCCCCAGCAACTCCAACCCCCTCTCAGCCCCTAGTGGAGAAATAGCTCCACACACATTTCATTGAGGCCTGGAAGTCAGGAAAACTTGCCTGTGGTAAAGGTCACAGACTCTCCTGCCTGAGACCTCAGTGCCTCCGCACACCTCACACACACTTGTCTTCTTATACAGAGCCACAAATGGGGGCTTCGGTCTCAGACTGATAAGCTGGCCACTGGGCTCTGAGTCCCTGGCTGTGCTGGTCAGAGCAGCCCCTTATGGAGGGGCAGATTCACTCAGTCGGGTGTCCCCGGGGCAGAGGAGATAGGTGGAGGGCAAGGCGGCCTGTTTGTTCCAGAGATGGCAGCCAGAACACGATTTAGTGTTAGGGTTGCAAAGTGATTCACTTGATAATTACTTATTGAACACACAGGCACCATGTTAGTGCTGGAAATTCAAAGATCAACGGCAGCGTCGTGGAGCCCCAGTTCAGGTGGGGAGAGAGACGGGTGACCAGCGGAGTCAGGGACATGGGGCATTTGTTCCTGGAGGAGGCCCCAGGGGAGGCCTCCATGGGGAGGCCCCAGGAGGAGAGTGTCCTG